GTCCCAATCCAGATCCAGATCTGGGTCCAAATCCAGGTCCAGATCCAGATCCAAATAAAAATCCTGATCCAGGTTTAGATCCAGATCCAAATCCAGATCCAGATCCAAATCCAGATCCAAATCCAAATCCAGATCCAAGTCCAGATCCAAGTCCCGATCCAAATCCAGATCCAAACCCATATCCTAATACAAACCCAGATCCAGGTCCAGATCCAGACCCAGATCCAGATTCAGATCCAAACCCAGATCCAAGTCCAGATCCAGATCCAGGTCCTAATCCAGATCCAGATCCAGGTCCCAATCCAGATCCAGATCTGGGTCCAAATCCAAATCCAGATCCAGGTTTAGATCCCGATCCAAATCCAGATCCAGATCCAGATCCAAATCCAGCTCCAGCTCCAGCCCCACTCCCATCTAATCCCCGCCCGTTCCCACCCATTCCCAGCGATTCCTCGGGACACGTTTGGATCCGTTTCCTCAGGATGCAAGTGGGAAGGGGCCGGAATTCCCGGCTCATCCATTGGCTTTGGAATGCAGATATTCCTCCAGGAGCATTCCCAGCTCCGAGTTCTGCTGCTGCAGGAGCGTGGCCTGGGAGAGGAGCTCGGATCTCCGGCTCAGGACGCGGCTGGGAAGAGACACCGGGAATGTCGGGAATGTCCCTCTGGAATGTTCCCCATCCCACCCCATCCTGCTTGGAACTCACTGGTATTCCAGAAGCGCCGCATCCAGAGCATCCCAAAGTTTCAGCCTGGGCTCCGGGATGACGTGGGCCAGCGCTTCCCAGTATTCCGCGTCTCCGGAGGAATCCCGGATATCCAGGGCTTCCCGGGCGGCCGCGGCCTCGGCGTCCCTGGGGGGGGGAAAATGGAAGGGACTGGGATGGGGGGAGAAATCCTTGGGGATGGAGAAGCCTTGGGATGGAGGAAAAATGTTTGGGATGGAGGACAAATCCTTGGGATGGGGAACAAAGCCTCGGGAATGGAGAACAAACCCTTGGGATGGAGAACAAATCCTTGGGATGGGGAACAAAGCCTTGGGAATGGAGAACAAACCCTTGGGATGGAGAACAAATCCTTGGGAATGGAGAACAAACCCTTGGGAATGGAGAACAAACCCTTGGGAATGGAGAACAAATCCCTGGGATGGAGAACAAAGACTTGGGAATGGAGAACAAACCCTTGGGAATGGAGAACAAATCCTTGGGATGGAGAACAAACCCTTGGGATGGAGAATAAATCACTGGGAACAAACAATTGGGATGGAGAACTCTTCAGATGCAGGAAAAATGTTTGGGATGGAGAACAAACCCTTGGGATGGAGAACAAACCCTTGGGAATGGAGAACAAATCCCTGGGAACAAACCCTTGGAATGGAGAACAAAACCTTGGGAATGGAGAACAAATCCCTGGGAACAAACCCTCGGGATGGAGAACAAATCCCTGGGAATGGAGAACAAATCCCTGGGAACAAACCCTTGGGAATGGAGGACAAAAATCTTAGGAATGAAGTCTTGGGGATGGAGAACCCTTGGGAATGGAGAACAAATCCCTGGGAACAAACCCTTGGGATGGAGAACAAACCCTTGGGATGGGGAACAAATCCCTGGGATGGAGAACAAATCCCTGGGAACAAACCCTTGGGAATGGAGGACAAAAAATCTTGGGAAGGAAGGCTTGGAAATGGAGAATTCTTGGGATGGAGGAAAAATGTTTGGGATGGAGAAAAAAACCTTGGGATGGAGAACAAACCCTTGGGATGGAGAAC